TAAGAATTAAAATAGTTTTAAAATTATTTAAAATTAAAAAAATCTACATAATCATCTTTTACATGATGGATTTTCTACCTAATATTGAAAATGTACAATAATCAATTACTTAATGGAAAAATTAGCTACATCAGTATTCAACTGACGGAAAGATGAAATTGGTGTTGAAAATTGAAGTTGGACGACGTTTTTGGTACCTTTTAAATTTCAAGGATAAATTGATTCAAAAATAAAAGTTGAGGGACCAATTCAAGTATTTAACCTAAAAAAGAATTAGCCACGTAAGCATCACCACCCAATTAATTCTTAAATAAAATAAGTTAAAAATTGACATCCTTAAATAGAAAAAGTTGAAAGTTGACATCCTTATTTAGAAAAAATTAAAAGTAACATCTTTATTTAGCAAAAGTTAAAAGTTGAAAGTTGAAGTTGAAGTTGACATTCTTATTTAGAAACTGATAAAATTAACATCTTTAAATAGAAAAAAGTGTAAAGTTGATGTCCTTATTTACACTTTTACTCCTCAATAGTCATCTTTTTTCGTTGAAAATAAGAGATTTTCAATCACATATCATATAAATGAAATAAAATAAGAGATGAGAGATGATTGCCTCTTATTGTGCGGGGTTATTGCCACACCCTATTTTGATAATGTCACATCTAAAATTATAAATTGACATAATTACCCATCATTTTAAAAATAATTTATTTTTCTTTCCAAAGCTACCCTTTTTTACTTCTTTTAACCCTAGCCGTTGCAACTCTCATTCTACTTCATATTTTTCCCTTTCCAAAAATAAATTTGACTTTATTTTTCTTTTTCTCTAAAATAATCAAATTATTTTGACAAAAAAAAAAAAAGAAAAAGAAAAAACAGAACACAAATTCTGAATGAAATCATTCTCAATCATAATTGATAATGTAAATTTTCTGAATTGTGTGTTTATGTATGATTTAAGAAGAAATCAGTCCAAAGTCTTGGCATCTTTTTGGATTTGAGGAAGGGTTGCTGGCTGTATGTTTTCCAGCTGGGATAGGATGCAAAACCCTGTGGTGTGTTTTTGAAGGACTAGATTGGCTATTCTACCATTGAAAAAATTGCAAAGGAGGACAGAAACCCGACACGGGTGTGGTGTCGACACATAAGTTTGGTGTCGACACCATATAGTAAGCATCCAAAATTAGCAAGGACTGTTCGGCTCTCATTAAATTATATCTTTCAAGTTGAAATGTTTATGGGTTTGGAATACCCTTTATATTCCACTTTTTAATAAATATCACTTTTTGCTGTTCAAAAAAAAAAATTGGTAATGTAAATAATAAAAAAGTTAAACATCAACTATCAAATGTAATTGAAAATATGAATATATAAATTAAACATCATTCTCTAAAGGAAGTTCACATTACGAATTTGACTAATATGTTGTACTAATAATGAGTACTGTATATCCATCCGAATCAAAATTCACAACCTTTAAATTTCACAAACAATGTGCATCCAAGAAAGCACCCCAAAAGGCATCAAAAGTTTGAAGAAAATTCTACTTTGGGTCATCCATCTGCACTCATGAAAAATTTGCTCTTCATCAGTTAGATCATGAAATTTAAACAGGAAAAAATGCATAT